ATATATATATACATATATATATATATATATATACGAACGATAATTTCACGCGGTCGCGTTTATTGTTATACGAAGGATAGACAGGGAGGAAGAAAGAAAAAAAAAATGTTTGCGGAGAATTCAATCCTCCTGAAAACAATTTTATTTCCCAAAGAGAGAGAGAGAGAGAGGACTACCTATACCGCGTCGTATCCATCCATTTAAAGTTTTCCCCGTCGTATTTTCGGTTTATCTGATAAACAGCCCTTAAACTCTCGAGCTCTCCGAGCGAAACTACTTCGTCCCCCGTCCGTTACATCGCGACGCACAATCGGAGAGTGGAAACTCCGCGACGTCGTCGCTACGATTCGAATGCGCCTGCACGCCGCGTCGCGCGGAGTGAGTCTAACTTCTTGGTGAAGAGAAGTTCGATTGCCGATCGAACGTATATACGAGAAAGAGAGAGAGAGAGAGAGAGAGCTGCGAGGGTGTCTCCGTGGCTTGTCTCCGCCGTAAGCCGCCATTGTCCGGCTCTGCTATTTCCAGAATCATCGGCTGCTTTTCCACCATTCGGAGGCGAAGGGCGATAAAGCGTAAATAGGTCGCCGAGGCGATAAGTTACGAATATGATTGGATCCGATACGATCTTCACAGATGTAGGTCATGTTCTTCGCAGAGGTCTATATTTCGAGCGGGATATTTCGGATGCGATTATCCAGCGAGGATGATTTCGCCATTTACTCACGAGGCGTTGGGAATCATCGCCCCTCGCCGCCTTGGAGGCTGCACACACACGTATATAGGTATATGATGCCGCCGCGCATTCGAGATAAAATTAATGTTTTCCGATGTAATAATATACTCTTTTCTTTTCTCGCGCACTCATATCCAGTATAGTTTTACGTTCGCTACTCTCTAAAAGCTGAAACGCGTAAACGCTAGTTTTATTAAATTTCGCGCGGTATGTCAACGTCGGAACGCGCGCTCGTCTATTCGCTACTCGTTCTTTCTGATTTTAATTTCAGGACGTGGAGGACTTGAAGGGGGAACGTATAAAATCAGTACGTCTCGAGAATGAAATCACGTCGCTCGTATATGAGACAGTAAAATGATGGAATAGCGTCTCGCGTGTAACGCTCCCGAGATTTACGACGGGGAACTTGACGACGGCGACGACGATCCACGTGCACTCGCGGCGTTTACACTCGAGACGTCGATGGTGTTGCAACAGGCGACTGTACACGGGGCTGTTTACCGAACTGTTTACAGCTGTTTTGCGCTCGAAAGTGTGTGCATAATTTAGACGGGACTGCGGCTATTGTCGTGCCGAATAAACTCCACGTTTCGCATTATTCGCTCCGTGAATTACATTGTAAATGAGTATACCGATAAAGTTATCCCGCAATTTGCCGTCGTTATTAAAAGTAAATAAAACGCCCGCCCTGCGTATACATATGTAACTTGTCCCATTACAATGCGGTCGGTGAAATGCACCGTGTACAAGCTCCCGAACGGTTCGGAGATTACGAAACAAAGCGGTGTGTTTAAAGAAAGAATAATACACGGAAAGAACGATTTTATTGAAAGATCTAAAAATTTGTTAAAACAGATCTGAAAATAATTTTTTGTTGAATCATCAAAATAATTTGTTGGAAGCTGATAAGAATAATCGCTGTAAAACATTTTGATATTTTAGCAATCACTTTGACTGTCGCACAAAATTATTTTGATTATTGAACAAAAATTATTTTCAGATCTGGATTCAGCAAAATTGTTCTTTCCGTGTACCCACACACACACACACACATGAGCGAAATTGCGTTCGAGGTTTCTTCGTGATCTTACAGAACCCTCAAAGATAACTGCATCTCTGTATGTTAACAGTTAAGTAATCTTTACACCCGATAAGATAACACACTTCGAACGCGTCTCTTTCGAAACAATATGTCTTCGCTCGCGCGTTCAGCGTACCCTCATCGGCTATTCTCTCGCGTCAGTCCAATTTCTTCTCATCCGTTAATTAATTATATAACCGCAAAAACTGCAATCGCCGCCGTGCGGGCAACGTAATATGTCGTAACGACATACACACACACACACACACACACGAGTCGACATAACGCGATAGCAGCGTGCCTCTATTTCATCTGCATATTTCGATGGAGCGACGTTGTACATATACAACGTGCGGTATCCCGAGTGCGTTTAAATGGTCCGCCGCACCGCGCCGCCGCGACAGGAAAGTGGATTCGAAACGGTTAAACCCGGCGCTTTCTTTCCACACTTTCCATCGGGACGGGTACTAGAACGCATTTTTTTTCCTTTTCTTTAATGCCGCGCGGGATCCTTTCCCGCGGAAAACTAACGAGGGGCAATTTCCATGCAACAATATTATTCAATCGCCGGCGCACGATGTTTTTACGAATTAACCGAGGGCCCCGCGTCGCGGCGGGTATATGATCTTACGCCCGAGGGTAGGTGCGAGCACGAGAACTATCAAATGTCTCGTGTACATCTGTTACGTTCCCGTGGAAATCATTCTCGAGCGGCGGTGACGGCGCGGGCGGGAGCGAGCGTATATAAAAGGCGAGAGAGGCAAGAATAATAGAAAGAACTTATCGGCGTTTTACTTTTCCTTCGCGAGCTATTTAAACGTTCAATCTAATTTAATTTTGTGTATATGCAGCTCGTTATTTAACGACGTTGGAATTGTATTAAATTGCTCGCGGGAGATTCGTACGATCGCAAACGCGATTGAAAATGGATTAATCTTTTACACCCGGCCGTTCATAATGCAGAGCCGCCCGTATTATATGCATTTAAATCGTCGGTCGCCTTCTGTAAACATGAAATAACATAGTGCATACTTTTTTTTTCTTATCATCTCTGTGTCATTGTGTATCGATAGTAGGTCAGGGAGAGACTGACGAGCGCGTCGCGCCAGCATTGCAACGCGTGTTCGTATATAATTAAAGAAAGATTGTAGATTGCGGCATTATTGTCTTAACGTTTACACTGCAGCACTACCTACTCTATTACGCGCGCGCGCGCGCGCGCCTCGCCTGTACGAGCTCGCCTTTAAGTTTGCGATATTTAAAGAAACGCATATCTCCAAGTTATCCGCATAACGTAACCGACCTAAATCGCCATAAATTGTGCGGCGGATCTCTCTTCCAGAAGAGCGGCTTGTAGTCGGAGGAACTCGCGCACGCGAGTTATTGCCTTCCCGGAGGCGCGGAGAAAAAGTAGCAAAAAGGTGCAATGTTCAAAAATGCGTACATGTGGCTGCACGTAAGTATGTCGTGATGTGTAAAAGACCGTAAATGATACATGTGTACAATTATTGTGAGAAATTTCATTGGGAGAATTCTCCTGTCAAATTAGTCGTTGAAAAAGAAAAGAAGGAAACATTTATTTTATTCAAATAAAAGTAACATCATGAAATAAGCGAATATTATTTCTTAGAAAATTTAATTCGAAGAAACTCTCCAAATATTCGAAAAAATATTGAATTTTCTTTATCATATAATTTTCTTACTTCGAGTATTTAATTAAAGGGAATATCGCGATATTGTTCGATATTTGATTAAATATTTTAGGAATTAAATATAAAATTGAGGTTCCGTTAAGGTAAAAATCCAATTAAAGTTAGTCAAATGAACAATAAATTTGGTTATAAATTGCAGTATTTACATCCTCAAATTAAGAAGAAATGTCACTCGCATATAACCGAAAAGCTATATTGTGATATATGCTACTCCAAAATAAATCTCTTGAAATATCTACTTCAATACAATATCTTTCAGGCAGGATTTTGTGACTGTCTTCTGTACCGAAGTCGAGAGCTCAGTCTTTCAAAATCTTTCTTCATGCGGAATCCGTCTGACTCCAGATTAGCCCACGGGAGAATTAGCATGAACTTGACGCGAGGCTCGGCGTAAAAGGCCATGAATGATGCGCATAATGCGTTAGACGTGAACAATGGGCAGGCAGGCGTGTCGTCGGTACGTATACACAACGTCGCCGATCCTCGTCATCCACATTGCACCACCTATATCCTCCTCCCCCTATACCCGCCCCACCCCTCGGTCGATCCTCTCGGCGTTCCGCCTTCCCGCGCGACTCGGCTCGTCCATCCGCGGCATCGCTATCCTCTTCCTCCTTCCGCGCGCGCGCACGTATGTATCTCTCCTCTCTCTTTTTTTTTTATTTTTATTTTGAAAGCGGCATATACGTGGTCGGAACAGGAAACGCCATGGGAGAGTGAGCAATCGGTATTCCGTGGCTGTGTCACACACAGCGGGGCCGCAATACTACCGTGTTGTATAGAGGAGGTATACGCGCGCGCCGCGCCGTAACGAGATGGACTGTAGCCGCGCGCACGGCTACACAGGGCAGTCGCGTCGCCGGCAGCAGGAACACGTTCAATCACGGGAATGCGCTTCGAATTTGCTCGCCTCTTTCTCCGGCCCTACACGTCGCCGTGCAAATCGGAGCCGCGCGTCTCGCACGTACGCGCACAAATTGTCATCCTTTTCTTGCCACGCGGAAAAACACCCGCGGACGCGCCCCGTTCGCGAAGATTTTCGCGCGCGGATCCTCGATCGGATTTATGTAATGCTACCAGCGGATCATGCCTTTTTTTTTAAATTAACGCGAGAATCGTGGATTTGAAGCTGATGGATTATTTTCAAAGCTTCACGTGATCGACATTTCGCGAATTAATCAGAGATTACGCGATGCTGTGAACGCGTTACTACTGAAATATCATTCTATATGAAATTTTTGCCAAAAATCGAATTAATTGAAATAAAATATCCTCAAGACGCAATTTTCAGAATATTTTCTATCCACTTGCAACGATATCAATAAAACTGTTTAGTTTCTATAATTAATGTATGACATTCTGATTTAATGCTATGCTATCGACGAAGGTGACTTTATATCAGATCGCGATACATTCGTTCTTTTAAGGCAACCGTTGGTTGTGAGCTGTTCAATGCAAATGCTTGTCACGACGTGAAAAAATGTCACCGTTCCGACCGGACGCGCATAAACATAAACGTATAGCTGCCGAGCACGGACGATATCGATTACGAAGGAGCGAATCGATATCGGTGACTTGGATAACGGACGTGAAATTATGAAGCGTGAGGCTGAGCGTATATTTATCGCTAAAAAGGTTATATTTGCTCGATAAATTTAATGTTACTCCATTAAAACCTTTTAAAGTTACAAACGTCGCTCTGATTAATTTGATCTTCGCTCTTCATGAAGATTTAATAGAGAGCGCCGTAAAATTCTTCACATTTCCATTTCTTCATTCTTTTTTCGTCGTCATTAAGCATTCTAACGGCGTCAAACAAGCGGTAAGGTCGTGTCGGAAATGTCACAAAACATTTCCGGGGGAATGGATATCGATCGCATCGGTCGAAAAAAAGGCCTCGGCGGAAAAAGCGCGGAAGGGGGAGGGGGGAGAGATTGCAATTTGGGTCGTTGCAATTGTATACTAATGCAAAAAACCGGCTTCCGCAAATGGAATTCCGTACGCGTGCCAAAAAATGCGTTAGCCGCAATAACTACGGGCTTTTAGGACGTGTCGCGCATGAGATGCGTCTATGCTTTGATGCGGGAAAACTGGGGCACTCGGGTGAGGGGGAAAAAGGAGGGGGAGGGAACGCGGGAGGTGCCGATGATCGCGATCTCCACGTTCCAAAGAAGAGTAGCGACGGCGGACTCGATTCTCAAAGGATCAACGCGGGTCAGCGTTACGAGACCGGTGGACGCGTTTCACGCGTTTCATTTTCGAACCATTCACCCCCGGGGACCGGGCATCTCGTTTAAAAGTACCCCGTGTCAACAGGGCCGGGCATTCATTCGCACCTGCAGAGAGCGGGTATGATGCACCTGGGGGTTGCAAGCTCATGAATAAATCGACGGTGTTTCGCTCGTTTTCGGAAAACAGGTCCGTCGCCGCGGCGCGCGTCTCGTTAGTGAAACGCCGTTAAACTTTCCTCACACCGTTAATAATCCGTGACGTTAATTATTGTCTACCCAACCGCCCGCTGCGTCGCCCCGCTATACATACAACGTGCACTGCGTCGCGACGTATTAACCGAGTTGAGCCTCGAGGACAAACCTCGGCGACGGGAGACGGTCGGCGCGATTCAGTTTATTAAGTTAGGGAATTAAAAGCGGGACAATGCGGGCGGTTGCGAGAGAGCTAGCGCGCGCGAAACAACGGGAACGCCGGTCGCGCGGCGGAATTTGCAAAAGATTGCGTTTCAAGGGAGCCCGCATCCGCAAGAAGTGAAGCGAAGAGGAAGAAGAAGTGAAAGAAGAAGACGAAGAAGAAGAAGAAGAAAAACAAGAAGATTGAACAAGAAGACGAATGCGAAGACGAACTCTTATCGCCGTTAGCAAAACAATTCCTGAAGCATCGACCGCGAGATGATACGCTATGTTCTCGTACAAGAAGGATTAATCGTGAAACTGAAAAATAAAACTCGTGATGGTATAACGCTAGAACGTGAAATTTCTTCGTTCGATGCAAGATTAGAGGAGCTCATATACAAGTACGAGGACCTAAGAGTACCAGGCTACTCGTGCCGAGCCGTCGCACTTGAAGAAGTCCCTCTCCTGCCCGCGCGAGTCCTTATGCCGTGTATCCCTTTCGTGTCACGTTAAAACGCGCGATGGAGAGAGGAGAGAAGGGAGAGAGGAGAAGAGAAAGTGAGAGAGGCTGAGTGCAAAGAGAGAGAAAGAGAGAGAGAGAGAGAGAGGAGAAGAGGGGAAGAGGAAGAGCGCGAAATTCAGCGAAGGAAGAAAAGAAGAGAGAAAGAGGGATCAGAGAGAGGGCGAGCTCTCTGTCGAGGAGCTGCATACCGAGGAGCTGGAAAACGCATTGTTTAGGCTGCACTCACACCGGTTCAGGTGGGTGTGTCGCGAGCGTGAAATACCGGCGAAGTGACTCCGCGTCGAGTGAGCCTGCACTTCGAAGCGGTGCTCGAGTCACGCCGCAGATTCCAGTGGACCATCACCATCTGCGGGAGAGAGGAAGAGAGTCGGGGGGCAGAGAGAGAGAGAGAGGCATATTTGATCTACCGACCGACCGGAGATGCGACTCTCTCCGCGGAATCGATTCCACTCTGATCGCGGGATCTTCCAGGGCGCATTTCAGATTAACCCACTCGTTCCGATCGTACTCGATCGGATCGCCAGATCGGATTGTAATCGCTCGCATTTTTACGTCGAGTTAAACGTACTCCTCCGCAATACTCCGGAATTGAAAGTTATTACGCGAGGGCGTGGTGTGTGCGTGTGCGACGTGCAAAATGAATTCCACCTCAAAAATCCTTTCCTAATATAGGAATGTAGGACACTAATTTTATTCCGGAATGAATACCGAATTTGTTATGCCATAGCTGAAATCGGAGGTTTCGGAAAATTTTCTATATATAGCTACGAGCTGGAGTTTAAAAAATTCAATCGTACAAGTAACGTGACATTTTGTCGTGTGTATATATTTCAGTATTTCACGTATAACGATATGTTTAACATTGTCGCTATGCTAATGCGACAACTGACAAGAGCGGGCTGCATTAGATGCAACGTCGAGGAATATTACACTGCAAAATGAAAAAGATCGCAGAATGTGTGTCACGGTGCATTCTTTTTTTTCCGCACGTTCCTTTAACTCGTAACTCTTTCTGAGACTCCTGGACGCCGGTTTTAAAGGTCTTTAATTAAGGGATACACATAAAAAAATGAGCTCTGAATTTTCTGCTGTATCCGCACGTATACATACATACCATACATAGACGACTCCTGTCCTGGCTCTTTTTTATTATTTCTTAAATGAGACTGCGTCTTGCTTCTATATACTTTTCCGCAAACGTTTATTGCGCAATCGCTCACAGAAATGTGTACGTGGGTGTACATAGATGTAACGTGAGCGTTAGCGGCGTACCGCGAGCTCGGATCTTTTATATCGGGTTTGCTAAGAAGTCGAAATGTGTGCGCGCGGATCAGTCATCCCTCTGGGAGTTTTATAAAAAGATCGCTTGTAAGTACGTTGATGGCGACATCCAGCGGGCATCGTCTGAATTTATGCTTCGCTATCCGCGGTAAAGCAGAGAACGCGGGGATCCGCGAGTATATTCAATGTATGGGTAATCCGTCGAGCCGCTCTCTTTGTAAGACAATCGTCTCTCGTGAAGAGAAAGAGAGAGAGAGAGAAAGAGAGAGACGCGCCTTAGAACAGAAATGAAAGTAAAAATCATAAATTCCGATTAGAAGTGCTATTATGCGAGATATTAAATTGTTAAAAAGTAACGACTCGCCCACGATAAATCATACCTCGTCTCGATCGTCCTGTTGAATTGGCGGCCAATTACGCGGTCGAATAAGTAAACGATAATAATTAACGAGCGGTCCAGAGAGAGAGAGAGAGAGAGAGAGAGAGAGAGAGACAGAGAGCGACCGATAAAAACTTTTATATCGGGCTATAAAAGCGGAACGGGATGACCATCGTTTAGTGGAGGGTTAAGCGCCGGCTAACGCCGCATACAAACGTTATACTCGGCTGGGATGACCCGATGGGACGTAAAGGATGACGGGCGGCTACAACGGCGAGGAGCCGATCTGACAACCTGGGGGACACGGGGGAGGTCCAGGAGGGGGCATAAAAGTTCGCCCCCTTGCTCTCCCTCCCGATCGCGCTGCTTACAGTCCAATGTACTTACCTGCAAATTGGTTCGTCTCGCTCGTCCGGTGGATTCAGGAAATTGCCGTCGTTCACCGCCGAAGACGTCGAACCCCGCGGCGACCTCGGGCCGCCCTCCGGTTCGCCAATCAGCACTTCCGTCCGACCATTTTGGAAAGGGCTGCTCGAGCGCCGTTCCCCGATTCTTCCGCTCTGCACCGGTTGCTGTCGGGCAAACGAGAGGCGCGCGTTTTACGTCTTCGTCGAGTTGACACACGAGGGACATCCGCACAGTTTACCGCACTTTATCCTACATCTATACGGGTATAGCTCCTCGATCAGCGGATTGCGGCGGGATTGAACTCCTTAAGCTCTTACTCGGACGTTTACTTTTACCAGGACGTTAACTTTTGACGTCTTTGCAACTGATAAAGATTTTGCGGCATTTGCGCGCGGAAACTTAATTCGAAAACAGCAATACGCGATCTGATAATGTCCGATTAATCATGTGTGAAACGTGTATCCGCAATTGATGGAACACCGGTAATTAATATGTCAATGTGATTAAAACGTCATTCAAATTGTTCAACAAACAGACCCGGGAATAATTCTCATTTAGGCATAGGCGTATGGGAAAATATTTGTGGAGAAAAAAGTACTGTGATTGTTGCTCGGCGATTAATTCAGAGAAACGTTCCACAGAGAACAATAAATAGCAGTAGCCCACGAGCCTCGTGAAGACTCCCATTAACATGCTTAATGTTGGCAATTAAGCGTGATAAACTACCGATGGCGATTTACTATTCCGGAAACTGTTTAATAATTACTTAAGAAATCCGACGGATGTTGCTTATGCAAGCGACGAGCGATTAGTGCATAACGTAGTGTTGGAAAAAAATATGAGAGAAAAATGTGCGTGTATACAATTGTGATAATTACTTACATTTGTGTAGATCATTATATAATGTAATTATTATGTATACTCTCCTCCCCCCTCCCGTTTATTTACGTTTTTAAAATCCAGTGTGAAAATTTAATTGTATTATGGTTAATAATTTAACGTTATACGCGAATGCTGCTTTATATTTAAATTTACGTCTCTTTAATTCATTTCTTTAATCATTTTCGCCACTAATCAAAGCGAAACTTTGTTTATACGTGTACTATATATAGCCTTTTAAAAAGTAAATTATCCACAAAATACTATTTTCCCCTTGTATTTCTACACTTCCAAAGTAAATTGTAAGTTTACGTTACCAAGAGATTCGCCTCTTCGCAGCTGTGTTGCTTTTCCAAAGCGTCCTTCCGCTCCTGCGAGGTGTTTTCCACTCGGATGTCCGCCTCTTTTCCTAATCCCTTGGGAATCGTACCGTTGCTGAGCTTGGTGGAGAAGGCATTCGTCCCCAATTCCCTGAAACAATTAAGACAGAGGACCGGATTAATTAAGCTGTGACAATCAAATTAATCAATCGGCCGCCCGATTGTATAAGTAATAACCATATAAAATAGAAAATGCTCTCCGACTTTCCCTATTGTACATGCAAAACAAAAATGGGCCGCGCGAACGCGCCGGCATTGTGAAAGGATATCAATCACGACAATCGCAATTTGTCACATCCGGTCTGCAGCGATGCTCCGCACCGGCGTATATTTTCCCGCTTACAACACAGACGTTTGGTTTATTATGCTTTGACAGGAACGTCCCGGGGGATATTAAGCCTTCGGAAATTAATTTACAAGTATTGCGACCGCGGAGCGACATCGTCCTGCCGCCGTCTACGGCACAAATTGTTTTTAATCGATCCTGGAGGCACCTGGACCCCGAGAATTACTGTCATTAACCGTAAATGTAAGAGCGAAAATTTTACAAGAAGTGACGAGAGAAACTCCCACCGAGTTTTACTTTTAACACGCTTCGCAGAAACAACAAACTTGTTCTTCTATAAAATAATTTTAGTAATGATATATAGAGAGACAAAAAGAGAGAGTTGACTTACTTGTCCGCCAAAGTAACCGTAATTTGGCCATTCGATACGTCTTTCGAAGTGGAGTCTTCGCTCGTGGACGCTACCGCATCGTTTATCTGGAACAAGTAACAAAAAATGATCCGTAATAATATTCTCACTGAATTTTTTTTCACTTTTGTTTAAACTCGAAATTGAAATTAATTTAAAAGTTAACAACCGTTAGAATCGCAGCCTTTATTTCAGTAATGCCATACCACATGCTGCATGCAAATTTCGCAAAAAGGTCTACATCCGTGACAAACAATAAATTCTACCGTCATTGTAATTTTTTTTTTATTTGGTTGCGATGATTGAAAATTTGATCGAATGAAGAGTTATCGTAATCACGCGATGGTGTACGGCATAGTATTCAATTTAGCTTTATGAAAAATGGCTGATCGCACAGTTTTACTTTATTTTTGTCGCACGTGCTTCCGCATTTCTGGACAAAATACAATTCCCCGTGTTTATCTCTATCTCCGACGCATGACGTGTAAATCCGCAACTCGCCTGTGCCGTGCTTTACATTAATTTTTGAAGAACTTAATTTTCTAATAAACTAATTTATCACAAGTAAAATGCAATAAAAATAATTCCGACTCAATTCCCTAATGAATTAATTTATCGCAAATATAAAATGTAACAAAATAATTATAGTAGAAAGCGCTCTCGAATTTATTAGTGTTATACACGGTTATAGTGTTATATACGGTCTAGTTCAAATTATTATTATTGTAAAATAATTATAATTTCATCGACATACAACACATTCAGTAAAATCCAAAACTGGTTAATGCTTGTTATTAAGTGACAAACATTATATAACGCGTGTATAACGGTTAATATTATCACGAAAAAAATAATAATAATTCTTCTCAAAATATTCTTTTCTTTAAATATACAGTAATACACTAAACACGTTTTGCTTTACTGAAAATATCGAAAATATTGAAAGTAAAACAATTTAGAAAAAATATGCCAATAAATTCCTAGAATTTACTTTTTCCTTCAGTCAAGTAAATATTGTTAGTCATATTCTTATGTCAATGAAATTTCGATACGTCCGTTTGCAGCAGTAAAAAGTTTCAAGGATGGATTATAAATTCAAAGTGCCGTGTATATGCGGTGTCTAGACATAGATTACGTGTAGACGTCCGATATTAGTAGGTTAGAGAAAAATCTCATCAACCTGAAACGTTTTAAGCGTCTTGTTCAGTGTCTCTTTAATACCATTCCGACACCAATGTCGCGGAAAAATTGACACGACGAAATGGCCAGACAATCTCCTAAATGGCACCGCCATCGTCGACGAATTAACCGGGAGGTCCCTCAGCCCTTCCACTTATCCGAATTACGCACTGATATAAAAAAAAGTGAGAGAGAAAAAGCCACGTTGTGTGTGCCGATAGCAATAAGTGGGCTAATCGCGCCACTCGGTAGTGATACGCGAGCCGTAATATCGAGAAAACTCGTTAATGGTTAGCGTTACGACATCCACGGTGCGGTTTCCGTTCCGAGATGTGTTTCGCGCGATACGCGCCGAGAACCCGATGCGTGCATGCCTGCTTACGCGAGATTTTAAACCCGCATGCCGTATCGCGATCGCGCAAAACGGTCCCGCATGCACGGCCTTAAAATATCTCGGTCGGAATGCGGTTAATAACAAACAATACGCGAATACTTTTCTCAGACAAGCCAAACGATCGTTAATTCGAGTTTACTTCCTCGAGAGAGAGAGAGAGAGAGAGAGAGAGAGAGAAATTTTTATTAATTACACGGAAAGTTATATTTCTACGAGCCCCGTTCCCATAAAGTTAAACTTTCACTTAATAGTTTTCGATCGAAGCGCGGATCTGAATGCGAGAGTGAGTAAAACCAATTTTCGCGAACTCATATTCGACTGGGAATGTATTTGGATGTGAATTATAACTCGGGGCAGAATTATGGCATCATTAATCGCCCTCGGAGAGACCCAAATCAGTTTCGGTCGTTTCAGTCGCCTCTGTTTTACAACTAAGAAAAAAGAATCAAACTTGCGGAAGCGGAATTAGTTTCATTCATCTCTTTAACAATTTCTTTGACTATTTGCAGGCATGATCTCACGTTTATTCACGATAATAAATACGAGAATGCCGTAACGGGGGAAAAAAAAAAGATCCGTGTGTGTGTGTCAGCAAGCGTAAAGGAATTTTCACGCGTCTGTATAAGCACCGAGGTCCGAACGATCGCCGGGATTACATCGGGTTCCCGTCTCCGTTCAAAAGTGCGATACTTTCGAGTGAAGTGTCGGATGGCACCAATATTTGTCGCTCGGTTACCAACTCAGCGAAAGCGTCGAGTATCGATATCCTCGGACAGCTTTGCTCTCTCGCGACGAGCGCGTCGTCTTCGTCGCACCCGCGCGCGCGCTTACAGTTTATACGCTCGGGGCGACGAGGAATTCCTTCTCTTCTTCTTCCCGACGCATTTTACTCTTTCCACGTAATTTCCCCGCGACAATGACGGTGCGAACGAACGTCTCCCCAGGCTGAAATCGCGGGGGCGTCGGCGATCCGCTGAAACTCGTTATTGCGTAATCGAAGGCTGCTAACCGAGGCCGAGGATTTCGGACGGCCGCGAAGGCGTGTGCGAGCGGAGCAAGCGAGCGAGCGTGCGACGCGATGTGCAACGAGAAACGCCGCCGCACTCTTGTGCTCTGCACACTCCCGTAAACAAGGCCGCGCATAATCGCCGTCCGCCTCTCACTCCGCGCTCATTTACTTGGCATTCCACATTTCATAAGCAGCCTCCGTGACGACTACGCGCTTCGCTCGCGGCCGATCGATTCATTTGCACGAGCGCCGCGCCGCGCGCTTCCTCGCTACGCGGAATTCGCGCCGCGCCGCGCGAGTTGGATTCTACGTACCCGCGAATCCTGATGACGGACGTCGGACGGCTCGGCCCCGCGACGGCGCAGCGAGCGGGCGCGATAAGAATCGCCGGAAGACGGACGCGAGAAACGCGTCGACGTCTCTCAACGCGCATCTCCGATTGTTACTCGCGCGGCGCGCGCGAGATTGTCAGATTGCGTTCGGAATTGCAAGCGCGCACTCCTGTCAACGGGCGGATTAAGGTCACGGGCGCGAATTGATTTTGATGCCAGCTGTTATATACATCGCGCGCGCATAAATATTTTAAGCCCGAGAAATTTTTAAGCCCGTTAAATATTGTTACTCCGAATAATTAATGCGCGGGATTTCTAAAAATAAGAGAAAATCGAATGGCGATCTAAAGCGCCAGGCGGAACAAACTGCGAATATTTCTGCGTTTATTTTTTTTCTCTTTCTCTCTCTCTCTCTTTCTCTCTTTCTCTCTGCAGAGAGAGAGAAAAGTCAAGAGCATTGTAACAATCGATTTAAAAAAAACTCGTCGAACCACCGAAAAATTGGACGCGACGGTGGATCTAAAAACCGGCTCTGGCGCAACCTGTGCATAATAAAAAAAAAAAAGGGTGACTTCTTTCATTTTGAGGCGCGGCGAGAGATGCGCGCGCGAGATCGTATCTCTCGGCGGGGCCATCGAATCCGCTCGAACATGATATTAACAGGCAATTTGGCTAATTACGTGTCTCGTTCTTACGTACCCGCTGATGTAAAATGGCCTGGATGTCGCGCGGCTGGATCTTCTTGAGTGCCGTCAATTTCTGCAGCCTCTCCCTCGCGCTCCTGCAGAAACAGAAGAAACGTCCGCTTGAAAAAGCATGTCGCCGCTTATCCTTGGGAAGTCGAACGAGAGAGATACCGGATAGTGAGTCACGGGAGCCAATCCTTATCGCGCACGAAAGCAGCGTCTCGTGTGTTTCCATTCGCTTCTCCAACCTTTCTCACAAGCGGAGACGCGCGCGCGATACCTTAGCGTTTGTAAATTGCCGCTGAAATCCTTTGTTGAAATCTCTAATTCGCGACGAGCGACGAGTGATTATCCGTTCTCATTAAATGTACTTTCACAGGAAGGTAATCAGAAGCGATTTAATGGACGCAATTTTCTCAGATGAGTCTTACAATCGAACGGTCGCGCCTTCCCGCGAGATATATCGAGATTTTAAATCGCGTCTTCGCGCGAACGGATTGAATGTAAGAATAGATCTTGCATGATCCGAGGGAAAGAAAGCTAATAGAATAAATAATGGGTGGGTTATACGCGTGAATTGAGAAAATTAATTCCATCGCTATTATTAACGTCGCTGATGAATGTTCATGTATCATCGCGTCCGCGAGGGATAACCGCCGACCGGATCGATGTTACCGGATCGAACAGCAAAGAGTAATAATAATAAAAAAAAAAAAAGAAAGAAGATATCGCGGAGAGCAAACAACCTCCCATGATTTTACGACATCTCATCACTGAGCTGTCATTATCGGCTCGATTGGAACGCGTGCTGCTTTCGAGCGATTCTCGCTGACATTTAGATGACGCATTCTCTCGTTCGATCAAAAACACGTTCGCCCGCTGGACACCGCCGCCTTTTATGTGACGTTTAATCGATACACGATTCCCGCCCCGACAGGAATGTATTTACTAGAGAAGCGGGGCACTAGATCTCTCTCGTCGTCGTCGTCGTCGTCCGCGTGCGTGTGTACATTGTGTCACGTAGACAACGTATACGCTATAACGTCGCGCTCAAGGGATGCACCCGTCTTTTACTTCACTACTCGTGAGTATATATATATATATAGATATATGTTCAAGTTATATCTCTCACCTCTCGACGGCGATAACCCAGGCGTCTCGTATCCGCCCAGCGTTTGGCCCGTCCAGCTCTTCTGTCGGGAATTCACGAAGAATTAATTAGGCAAATTTATCGCGCATTTAACACGCGTCAAAGTGGGCCATTACCGAGGCCGCGGCTATAGTCAAATATATAGCGGCGGCTCCGGTGGTAAAACGAAGGTGAGTGGAAATAAGTGAAGCGCAGTCTCACCGCGTCTCTCTCTCTCTCTCTCTCACTCTTTCCCCCGCGTGAGCCTGACAAATTCCCTTCGTTTCTCATTTACTCCGCGCGCGGAGAAGCCACCGCGTGTTTCCATTTAATTTAATATCTCTCTCGCACGCGGGGCAGCGTGCCTTCCCTTTATACTCCTTCTCTTACCCTTGCGTCGCGCGCGCGCGCGGAAATTTTTATTTCCGCGGTTTCAACCTGAACCAGCGCGTCCATTTCATTTCTTCGAAATACAGCGAGAACGACGTCTCTATATGTATTCGCCGCGCGCGCGTCGCGCGAGGCGAAAAACTTGGTGTATGCGCGCGCGCGCATCCACATTGTCCTCGTAACTTTTTGCCCACCGGTTATTTATATCGTCCCTTAGCGGGGAATAACTACGGACCTACCGCGTATCAACCCACTTTTCTATAAAAAAAGAAAAATCTGATCGATCGTGCACGGCTAACCGTTCTTAGTGCAGGCCGCATCTTCGTCGGCTTCCTCGTCGTCGATGAATTTTATACCGGACAGATCAAAATGCCTCGCCACGCCGCCGCCGGGCGAGGGCTCCGCCTGATCGTCGTAATTCGAGGGCCTCGCGCCGAGCTTCGGCGGTGGATCGTCGACGATCGATTCGTCGACGACGATCGATCGGCTGTCGTGACCCGAGCGCGGCGAGCAACCGCAAAAGATTAGCTTGCGAAAAAATTTCGACATGCTCATACTTTTGTATTCGAGTAAGCGAGGACAGCTTTTCACACCAGGCGCAAAAACTCTTTTATTGTATATATATATATACGTTCGAACTTGAGAATTGTCCCTTCCTTAGCGAGCTACTACGCTGGTCTTTTTAATTGACATTGAACTACATTGATTTAGATCTATTTTTAATTACGTTCTATTTATAAGGGCGTGTAGTCCTATCATAAATACACACATCCTACGAAAGAATAAAATATATATGGATGGTAAAACAACCCGGCGCGCTTATCTCTTAATGCAAGTGTTGTCTCACGTGTCTAATTTAATATTTCAAAAGCCGTAATTTACTCCGCTTATTATTTCACGCCGAGCGCGAAATTTCGTTTTTGTAACTCTATCCAGACCAGTTAAAAATTTGTTTCCGCGATGTTATTTCTCTACTTCTTCATTAACACGACAGCGAACAAAGAAATGTGACCACAATGACCACAATTTCCGTTTTAATGCGCATCGGCGTTTCGAAAAGTCATAATTAGCAATCGATAGCCAATTCATTCGTTTACACTGGCTGCGCAATCGATTGGCCGAACTCGTTAACGATATTCGGAAACTGATATCGGGCACCGTACGGAGCACTGAATGAAAAGCTTCGGCGGCGGCGGAGACTGGCCCGAAAGCTTCGCCCTGAAAGAGGACGGGTATTCGCGCGTGCACGTGTCACGAAACTAGAAAATAAACTCTCCGCCGCAGCCGGCGACTGAGAATGGATAGCACGGACGGCATTCACGAAGGAGTTTATATTTGGAACACTACACGCTGGCACACGGGCGATAAAAATTGACAGAGAGCGCCAGTTCAACGTACTTAGCACGACGGAGGCGGGAGGAGGAGGAGGAGGTGGTGAGGATACAAAGGACAGAATGTTTAAGGAATTTGCGAAAGAGAGCCTCGTTCGCCGAAATTCGCGCGGAGAGGATTGAAAGAACAAACGCCAAAGATCGATAGAGTGTCGGGCGGGCATTCTTAAATTTCTCGAATACGTGTAGACCTTCCTTCGCGGGATCGTTCTTTTTGTTACCAGTTGATGTGATCCCCGACCTGGTTTCCTCGCGCAATCCGCTTTGGTGCGAACGAAGAAGCTGATTAAATGTACGTCTGGCGGTTTTCATTTCTGAAGGAGACCTCCTCAAGACACGCTATTCCCGGCTATCGGGAATTTTCATGGGCGAGAATTCAACTTCCATTTCGCGTTTTTTTTCCTCTTTTTTTTTGTTTTCGAGGTTTTCGAGCCCGAGCGTTCGAAAAATAAAATTGTTGTGATAAAACGGATAAATTGATTCCTCAAATATCATTATAGAGTGACGCGATTATCGTCTACTCTCTGCGACAGATAATTAATATTTTCTTTTTCGATTGAGTCAATTAACAAAATTGGATTTCTCTCCCTCTCTCTCTGCAAAATTCACTCGGTGAAAATCGTTCATTTTCCAATCACTTTGACAGCTTTTGCTATTTGCTTACGGCCCGTACACACACGTTATGCGCGCATACGTAACGCTGTACATACACGCACCATGCACCTCGTACTTCGTTCATTGTCTTTCCGAACGTGTATACAGCTGACATAGTGTGCAGTGCGCCGCAATTGCATATCACTTGAAACGCTCCAGGCCAAGTCTCGGTGAAGCTTTCCGTGTCACTACCTGCATACATTCATTGCCTTAAAGCCTTTTGTGCTTTACCGAACGACAGGCGGGGGGGGGGAGGGGGGAGGCGCTTATAACGCGCGCAAGAAAACGCTCGCAACAGTCTCCCGTTTTGGTCCCTTTTCAAAATGTTCTGGCCTAGCTCCAAAACGTATTCGGCGGATATGGCACGGCAATTCGGAGAAAGTGTGTTTTTCGTCTGAAAGCACACCCCCGTTTTACCCTCTCTGTTTTATTGTTAAAACGCTTCTGACATTCCGTGACGAGCTGTGTCGCGTGTGTACAAGCGTGATGCACGAAAGCTAAGCTTTGACGAATTTATCTCGGGACGAGTGAGAAAAATATTAAATTATGCCAAATCAAATTAGTATTGGCACACTAATTAATAATTAAGCAATTATTTGAACAATAATTACTTGTAAATCGGTATTACTTCATATAACTCAGATTGGGCTATTGGTATTATTTCATTTGGATAATAATCCTATAATTTTTCAATAATGTTTGCTAATATTGCAATCAATAATTTAACCGTTAAAATGTTTTCATAACGTTTTAATAGCCAAAAAAAGCAACTTGAGATAGCTTAATGTATAGAACACAAATCACGTAAAATTATCACAAATATCATCCATAATTTAATATTGCATTACGTAATTATAACAGTAATTATAATATATCACTATTAATTTATTAACCTAAGTTAATTATGGGATATATGCGCGGGGATGTATGAATGTGCAAATACTTCGTTAGCGGTAATTCCTCGCTTAGCGCAGCACATATCGCCACCTCATTCTCATTCCGTGTTTACAATGAATAAGACATTCGTATGAATACCGGCAAACGGAATTCGGAATCAAATTGCATTTAGCGTTAAATGCGGTGGCACAATGGCGGCGCGAATGCGAGGTCGAAGGCGCAAGGCAGAGGGATTAGGGCTAAGATACAGGGATGAAGAGAGGCATTACGTTTCGCAAATTCGGTCGGTGACGCGATAAATTCGGGTCAAGCTATGCGTTTGCCGTGATATCAACGTTGTCCGGAGTAGTATCCGCAAACGGCCCCGGAGAAATCTACTTCGTCGGAAACGGTAACTAGATGCTCGCACATATGTCGTATATATACATATATATATGTATATGTACCGTGTACACCACAGCACGGCAATCGACCACGTTACGTTAAGTAGGCTTTACCCGAGTGCCTAAGCCGGACCGCGCGCGCTCTCCGAAAGGCACCGCGGTAGTTCGATAGTTGGACAACGGTTAACTTGCGAATAATTAAAGCCGGTCAATCCCAGTGCTAAAATACCATGCTCAAAACCGCGCGATCGTATTTTCCATCCTGTCGAACAATCGCGTGAAAATTAGCGCACTTCGCCCTAAAATACTCGTATAAGAAAAGGGAAGTCCCGGTTTCCGGTATGTTTCTCCACTTTTACGTTTCGTATCTCGATCTCGTATATTTCGCACCTTGACGTTATCAAGATGAATAAAGAGAGCGCGGGTGACACATAGAGTTCAATTTTTCTCGCACACGCGAGTGATTATTATAGAAATCGCGCCTTATCGCGGCTGGAAATAATCGTTTCTGAAATACGACGGGGGGGAGAAACGACGAGTCTGGCAATTTTCATAAATCACACGGAACGATATCTAAAAGCTCTGTATGAAATTAGCAGATACGAGATATTATTCATATGTATATGTAAAGATAATACAAGAGGATACAACTGTACCAATGCGCGGAATGGTTTCGATCATATGAGTAGTACGGCTTGACGCAAGAGGAGGCGAAAACCAGTTTTCTAACTGTATAGGCTGTGCGCCACGTTGATGTATATATAGCATACATATATATATATACACACGTATACACACGGAATCAAGCAACGGAGAGGCGTGCTCACCGAGGTTTGGGCATTTGATCTATGAGACAATATTTTGATCCTGTACACAATACGTCCGAATCCAATACCAAACTACTTGTAAATTTCTGATAAGATAATTCGAGGTACTTTGAAGAAGAGACTCAAATAATTGTCGACGCATACTAAATTCACTCATCCGTAATAAATCTTACAGTATATACACCTACATGTAAAAATCATCAAAGGCTTTCGTAAAATTTTATTTAGATTATTTTACGAATATCTGGCACAATTAACTTTCCACACAAGCAACAATCAAAAATTATTATTTCGATCATATAATGTAATTAGGAAATTTCAATTCACTTTAAATGCATAATTTTAATTAAAAATGTAACAGGTATATGCCACATTTATGTATATTCTAAAGGTAACGGACAGACAAAATTTTAATTACGTCTGCGTTTAAAATACGAGGTCACTATATGTATGTATATATCGCGTCTCTAATTACTGCAATCGCTTTCAACAGATATTGTAGACAACAAATAAATCAAGCGG